ATTGGAACCATTTTGTTCCTCTCCATAAGCATTTGTTGAGAAGCTCTTTCATGCACAAGACACTCTATTTGAGACTTAAAGAAGTCTAAGTAATCCCTGCCCTAAATGATGTCATAATCTAGCTGGGGAAAAAAAAGCAATAGACATGAAATAAGGCCAATGAAAAGACAAGAGTAACATCTGGGGCCATAGTAGTGAGAAAAAGTTACAATGGAAGAGATGCACAGAGAGCTGGGTTTAGGGGGGACCAGAACGATTTAGATGATTATTAATGACTTCAATGCATAAGGAAGCAGGCCCTAAACTGCATACATTAAAACAAGAATGTATACAAGAGACAACATTAGTCTTAAAAGGCTCAGACAAGCCACCCTCAAGGTACTATGCAATACTTTTCTTTCTTTAAAAATATCACCTTAGGCTTCCAGGACAGTTCATGTTTATAGAAAGCTTTATATACATTTTATCATTTGATCCTAATGAGCCTGTGAAATAGGTAGAACAAATATCACTTCCATTTTTAAATCTCTGAGGAGTCAAGTAGTTTGCTGATTCCTATTACTCTTTTGTTAGGAAAGGGGAGACTGAAGCAGAGTTGGCTTAAAGTTCCTCTTCTCTGAGGCAAAGAGGAGTACTGGAATTACCTCCAATGGTGTGCATTATTTGGTGATAAAGCACTTAATAAACTTGGTATACGCAATTCAGTTTCTCAACAGTATTAAAAGTTAAAAAAAAAAATCAACACTGAAAATCACCACACATTAAGGCTAAGTTTTAATAAATGGACTGTATCCCTCCTCTTCCAAAGGTCTTTAAAAAACTAATCCAATGCGTACAATATTTTTGGGAGGATATGCAGTAAATATTATGCTATGCCACAACTCTACAACAGGATGGATATGCAGTTTCTTACCAAATTAAAGGATACTAAAATGAAGCTTTTTTTAGAAGCTTAAAAGAGTTACACTAATGACAAATTAAAAGGTATTACTTTACAAAGTTGACAGTAAACAATAGTTTATTCCCATAAGAGGAGGTACAGAATGAAAATATAAATACATTTCAATGAAGTTAGAGAATTTATTTTAATGGCACATTATGAATATAATTAAGCTACTGTAGGATACACATACACACTAACACTCTTAAATAGGACCATAAATAAATCCCTTCTATATAATATCCTTTGGTACCACTATTAAGGTGCTTGCTGATAACAGTCTAGAGAAAGTAATAATTTAAGCTAATATGGAAATTCTTATGCTTTTATGTCCTTATCCAAGGCAAAAAACTGTGGCCTATCATTTACAGTTAATAGCCTACAGAATAGGTTTGGATTAGTGACACTTTATAAACTCAAACAGATTAATTCAGCCTGGGCCCCGGTTTATTGTTAAAATATATGAAAAAAAGCCTTTGCTGCATAAATAGTAGCATGGTGCTTAAGGAATATGTGATATACTTATGTCTACTAATTTTAAATCATGGGTATCTAATAATTAAAGGTGGTCCATACAGATTAAAACTTGCCAATAAAATCATTACTTTGTATTACTACACATATGAGAAGTGACAATTTCTTGAAAATATTCAATAATTCAGATGAGTAGTCTCCCCTTACCAACATTTAATCCAAACTGTGAGATTTTAATGTAATAGTAAACACACACACATACACACACACAAAAACAACCTGGTTCTGTCAGTACTTACTTTCATACCTATGTTCTATATGTAATACAGCTAATACCTGCAATTATACTTAGGTCTTAGAACACTCATTTGGTTTGTTACTGAATTTACTTGAAAATAATCTTAAACCATGATTCAAAATTTCTACTAATTCCAACTGGCAGTTTACACTCAGTAACAAAAATGTTTACTTATCTCCATATTAAGATAAGAGAAGGAGATAATGGTATTTCCTTGACAAATGATACTTATATCCCATTATCAAATAAAGGGAATAAACATGAAAATGATAACACAAATTATTTAAATTTACAATTTTATTTCCTTTAGCAAGTCACTGATTAGGTCATGTAGCACAAGACAATAATATTTTATAAGGTTATAAAGAGCTGACCTTTAAAAGTTATACCTCAAAATCTAAAGGCCTATTTTTTAACCCATTAGTTATTTTTTTCTTCTCTCTCCCTCCCCCAAGTCTAAAATGGTTCCTTGAAATTTTCTTTTTCATTTCTGGTAGTATAGGTTATATCAAAGAATATTTTATGTCAATAAAGCACACTGCGAACTATGACCCAATGAGCTGACTTTGCAATTTGTAGTGAGATAAGATACTTAAAATCAATAGCACCACACCTTTCATCTGTGCCTTTACTGAACAAAGGAGGCCTTTGAATAGCCAGATTCTTAGGTTGCTATTTAGGTTTCTTCTACTTACGAATGTCCATTATTAGCTAAGAAAAAACATCAAATAAATAGTAGTACTATGTATATCAAATAAATAGTAGTACTATGTACCATGGCAATCTCTCTTTGAGTCAGCTAAATTACAAAATCTGGATGCTTAAAATATTCTTAGATCATTCTTCTGAATATAGAATGTATGCTGCTATTTCTTTTCTAATGGAAATGGAGGACTATTTTAGGACTGATGTAAATTCTCCAGTATTAGACATACAGCATTTATAGCCAAGATATTTCAAGAAGGGGCTGCCAAAAGCTGAGAGTGAGCAAATCTGGGCAAACTGAACGTGTGATTCTGAAGCATGAATCAAAGGGGCTAAAAGGACTTGTTTTGCTTGTGGGTGTGCGAGGGTGTGGGGGTGTGTATTTACTACAATCAGTGGCATACATAAAAAGTTTAGCTCTAAGAATGGAGAAAGGTCTATTCTTTATTTGGACAGTTTTATTTAGGACTCTGATGGCAGTTAACCAAAGAAACTTAATGGTAACCATCAAAGACAGCTAACTACAGTCAAGAATTCTAAAATTCTCTTTTCTTGTCTAGTCTGAAGTACTTGGGAACATCTCTTAAAATCAGCGTCATATTGCCACAGTTGTCACTCCATGTCATTGATTATGTTTATCATTCAATGGTGCTACATACTTTTTATAGTAGGAAAGAACAGGAGTAAAGTGGGTATTCATTGATTAGGTAACATCGAAACAAATTGTGGCATATTAATGTAATGGAAAAATCAGCGGCCTAAAAGAAATAACTATTATGAGAAATTCAGAGAAAAATAAGATTTACCTAAGAAGATAAAGAAGCAGAATAGGCAGAACCAGGAGAACAATAAACATGGCTACAATAATATAAACAAACAAAACAAAACAAAACAAAAAAAACACTAAAAAGTAGCCAAACTAATTAATTGCTATGATCAATTTTTGTCCAGAAGAAATGATGAAACATACTATCGGTGTAAAAACAAAAGATAACCATAAAACTTTTTAAAAAAAGGGCTAGGATAACCATTGTTACAGAAACCAAAACGTAATTTGATTTATTGATGAATTACAAAACCCTTTTCATCGATGGCTTACCACAACAAAGAGTTCCAATACAACAACTCAGGGTCGTGATTCAGACACTGCTCAGAAATAGTGAAGTGGCTCTGATCTGGTTTCAGGTGTGAGTCCTGCCTCTGTGTTAATTGTGTGGACTCCAAGACAGTCACTTCACCTTTCAGCGTCCCAGGACACTTTCTAAGCAGATAAATTTCAGGCCAGGTAGAAGGAGTTTCCACACTGACGAAATCATTAGAGGTAAATAAACAAACAAACAAAACCCTAAACCTACGAGATTTCAGCTTTGATCAAAGTCATTGAACAACATTTCATATCAGAAATAGAAGACACAAGGAATATAGTAGCATTATCATCAGTGTTATATTTTAAACCAAAGTATAAAAATACTCAAGTAAAAGTTCAATAGAAACAGATAAAGCATATTTAATGTGATATCACATTGACAGCTGAAGTAATACTTAATTCTGAATGCTGAGAAGTACTGACGGCACTAAGATTTTGCTTTTGAAGGTTGGAACATTTTAAGTCATATAATCTAAATTAATAGTCAATAACCTAAGTGCTGTGTCACTGTGTGTAACATTTTTTCTATACTTTTCAGACTCAAATGGTTTTAATTTCAAAGAAGCATAATTTAAAAGCATTACCAAAGTTTTTTTAAAAAGTCTTTATTATTCCCCTCAAGAGAATATACTTCACAGGTAACATGTAGTTGGGAACTAGTAAATACCGTTATTATAATGGAGTAGAGTTCTGAATCCCAGTTTCCACAGGAAGCCTTTCCTAATCCCTCTTATTTCTAGTGCATCCTCTCTGTTGATTTTTTTTCTTAGTTACACCGTATATAGCCTTTTTGTATTTAGTTGTTTGCACACTATCTTTCTCAGACTGTGAGCTCAAGGTATCTACTGGCAGAGTAGATAGAATTCTAGGCCTGATGAAGATTTAACCTCAGAAACCTACTATTCCAGTGACCCTGGGCAAGTCACTTAACCACTGTTTGCCTCAATTTCCTCGACTGTAAAATGGGAATAATAATAGCACCAACCTCGAGGGGCTGTTGTGAGGATCAAATGAGATATTAACTGTAACCTGCTCGCCACGTGACAGATACTGAGCAGGTACCATCTAAACTTTTAGTCCTTTCTTCTTCCCTGCCTCTCCTCAAGAGCAGGGATTGTCTTTTGCCTTTTTTATCCCCAGTGCTTTTGTCTGGCACATAATAGGCTGTTAACAAATGTTTACCTACTGTCAGAAAACTTTCACTAAAACTATTTTGTTTTTTTCCAAAGTTTATCTTTCTTTAACCTCTTATATTTCAGATTTTTTATATTGAAAATTTCTACAGAAAGAATACCATCTATTGCTCAGGTCAAACTCAAACTTCTCTCATAGGCTGCTGATGTCAAGTTTAATTTAAATATTACTTTAATCAAAATATCAAATTATATTGAATTTCAAAGTTTTTTTTTTAAAGGAAAAGGAAAAACTAGTCTTACCTTATCCAGTCTCTTTTGCCAGCTGTCCTCACGTTTTACCATGAGTTCAATACAATGAGAAAGTGTAGCAAGTATTCCAGCAGTAGTTGCTTTAAATGTAATTGCTTCCCCTTTAAAGTCTATGCCATTAATTCCTTTGGGTGTCACATGTGGAAATACTGGAAAAGATACTTCAGTCAGCAACAGTCTTTCAAAGAAGAAAAAGTTCTACCCTATGATGTATCTTTAGAAAACTTTATGAGAGCCAGCAATAACATATCAGTAATGGCCCAAGATTATATTTTTCCTCCCCAAGGCCAACATTTTGCCCTTTCATATCTATAGGCTATGAGTAAAGAGGATCATAGCTTGAATATATCTGTCCAGTTTCATTTTGCTGGGTTTTATTTCCTGATATCTACTGTGCTGCATACTCTGCACTAAGGGAATCATGTGGGAGGTGGGAGGAGAAAGTCTTTAACAAGAACAGTCTGACAGTTTACAGTGGCACCTAATTACAGCAAGAACCACCTTAAAATTTTAAGCAAAAAAAATTTTTTAAAGGTCTTTTTTTTTAAAAGAGCATCTCTGAAGGTAAAGCAATAGAGTCAAATAAAGTAATATGAAGGTTTTAAATGGATATTCAGTGCTTTTTAAAACTTATAAAATCTATTTAACACACCAAATTATGCTTAAATTTATTGCTTATCAAATGATTTCATGCCACTAGCTTTACAATATAAATAAAGAATTCTTCAAGCGAATCTTATAACTTGATGTAGCCCAAAGATCAAATCTCACTATTAAACTTATTTAGTCCTTAGTCATACCCTCTCAAGTAAAATAGTAATAGCTTAACTTTCAAATACCCACCCCCATTTGCTTATTAGCAAGATTACACCTTCTGGCCTAATAGTCATTTTAGGCTCTTAGTCACTTTTCCCTATGTTATAACTAGATAGTCTCATATAAAAGATTTTAATTTTATATATGTTATTCAAACTGTACCTAGGAAAAATGATTTCAGGACAAATGAAGCCAAAATACTGGCTCTATGTTGGTAATAATTTGCCAGTATCAACACTTGCAGAACTTGCACGGTGTTGGAAAGTGTTCTAGAAATATTTCGGTATACCTCCTTTTAAAAAAACAATTATACTTTCAGAAGCAAAGCATCTTTCCGTGAGCTCTGTACAGGTCAGGACTATGTCATTTGAACATTTTCCCATTCTTAGCATAGTTCTATGGACACCAGGTTCTTAATAAATGTTTACTTAAGAGAACTTAAAACACAAAAGAGGATTTACAGATTACTAAACATACAGAAACCACACCTTTTACGTTAACTTAGAGACAAAAGAAAATTACAAAGAAATAAGTTTGCTAGACTTCTACGCGTAAGTTAACTGCCCTAAACCTTTGCAGACAGACGAGATCATCTCTAAACTTCCATGACTTTTCCTTTATTCAGTTAGTTTGATTTTTATGTTCCACAAGTACTTTATGCTCTGCATTGTTAAACTGTATTCCTCTCCAGGAGGGGATTCAAACCAAACTTTCAGAGAGTCAATACCTTTTCCTCAGCATATCTTCTAATGAACTGAAGGTGAGGGTAAAAAAATATTTTAATTTCCTTTGAGAAAAGGTCAAAGTATGTTTTGCTATATAGTTGCCATGAAGAATGAAGGAGAAGAGACTATTTTGAAGACATGATTTTGCAATTAGTAAATAAAAGAGAAACATTTAAAGTTAAAAATCTGCCAGCTAAACTTTGATCTTGTAAAAATAAGAAAAACATTTTTAAAATTTCAAACACCTAGAAAAATATGAATCTTGGGCTTTTAAAAACATCAATATATGAAAAACAGGCAAAAAACTCTTAACTGTGGCTAGTTATTAATATCTTCACTCTGCTTAAGACTAATTCAAATTATGTTATATGAAAAATCAAGGATTCTGAAGCCAGAACATTCCCTCCTCCTCTTTTTAAAGTAAGAAATTATACTGATTGTCATTTGAAACATCGTGGATTTCATACTGTTGTAATAGCAAAGTCTGGGGTAGGGAAGCAGTGAAGAAACAAAGTAAAATCCAAGGATAGGAGTTCTTAATTGTTACTGACTCCTTTGGAACCGTGGTCAAACATATAGACTCCTCAGAACAATGTTTATAAATGTATAAACACATAGGATTACAAAGGAAATAATGTTTAAATGCAGTTATCAAAATATATATTTTTTTTAAATCACAGTCTTCTGGTTAAGAACCTTTGCCCTAGAGTGATTCATGGTAAAGGTGGCTTCAGACAAAGAAAACTGTTGCCACAACTTTTTTTTTGAGGAAGTTGCTGTTAAGTGACTTGCCCAGGGTCACTCAGCTTCAACTCAGGTCCTCATGACTACAGGGCTGGAGCTTTATCCACAGTGCCACTTAGCTGCCCCCTGTTGCCACAACTTCTGGTTGAGACATTTTAAGTCACTGGTTCTGAACAGCTTCCAGTCTAGCCCCTGGGCATGTGATGTGATTAGAAGTCTGGCTCTGATAATAACGACTCCCATATGATTAGGGTGCTAGGAAGGATTTCATGTGATCATCTTTCTAGTCCTCTGCCTTCAGGCATGTGAAAAAATATGATTATTTGTATTTTGCAGATGAAGCAAGAAATGTCCAGAAAAGTTAAATCACTTGATCAAGCTTTCAAAATTATTAAGTAGTAAAAAGGGGTAAGAGAAATGGAAGAAAAACTGAAATTAACATTCTGTTATTTCTGGAGTTCCTTACAGCTGTAAAATCAAAATTCAAAAACAATAACTAAAAGCTACCTCATAAGGCTGTTATGAGAAAAATGTTGTGGAACTACTAAAGTACTACATAAATATGAATTATTACCAACATTGAGAAAAGCCTAAAATATCATATGCAAAAGAGAAATATCCCAAATCTTATATGAAGCTGAATTTTAATTCTCATAATGGAACATTTAATATTATAATCTTTCAAGAAGAAAAAAGCAATTGAAGATGGTTCAACATTTTTTCATACTTAGAGCAATTCTGAGGTTCCATCTCACACCTGTCAGATTGCAAAAGATGACAAAAAAGCCAAATGACAAATGTTGAGAGGAGCTGTAGAAAGGAGGCACAATGATGCACTTGTGATGGAGCTATGAATGGGTACATCCATTCTAGAAAGCAATTTGGATATAGCTATCTACTATTGACCTTTTACCCAGATTTACCACTGCTAGGCTAATAACCAAAGGAGAGAAGAGAAAGAGGAAAAGGTCCTAAATGTAATCAATCAATTAATAAATTATAGCAGCTTTTCATGGTGCTGAAAAACTGGAAACTATGAGAAAGCTCATCAATTGAAAGTGGCTGAAGAAAGTGTAGTATATGAATATGACAGAATACCACTGTGCTCTAAGAAATAAAGAAACAGATTTCAAAGAGATGTGAAAAGATTTGTATGAACTGACGCAGAGTAAAGTAAGCAGAACTAGAACAAGTTGTACTATGACATCATTACAAAAATGAAAAAATCTGAAGACTTGTATAAACTGAAGAATGAAATGAGCAGAATCAGAAAAACATTTATACAATAATGTAACACTGTAAGCTGTAAGATTTGGATCGATACAATGACCATCTATAATTCCAGAAAACAGGAGATGAGGCATCCTTTTCACTTGCTGACAGAGAGGCAACGAATTCAGAGTGCAAGATGGACATAGAACTTTTGAATATGGCCAATGAGGAGATTTGGTTTGCTTAACTGTGAATATTACAAGGAATTTGTCTCTCCTCCCAATGGCTGAGTAGAAATTAATTCCTATTAAAAAAAATTGCCTAAACTAGTACAAAAGTGGCCTCCCTACCTCGTCATTCCCCATTCCAATTCATCTTCCACATAGCTATCAAAGTGATAATCCTAAAGCAGAAATCTGAGGGTGTCAGTCCCATGCTCAATCAATTCCAGTGACGACTTACCTCAAGGATCAAAAAACCTTCAAACCACTTGGTTCCAACCTACCATTCCAGTATTATTCATTCCTCCTCTTCACTCACCAGCTAAACTGCTTTCTTACTATTCCTTACACATGACATTACATCTCCCGTCCCCCATACACCTACTCCTTAACTTTACTTCATAAAATCCCTATTTCCTTCACAGCTGACCTCATGAAAACTTTTCTGATCTTTTGAGCTGCTAGTGCTTTCCCCTACAAATTATCTTGTCATTTGTTTTGCATTTAAAAAAATAAATTTGTCTTATGTCTTTCCTGACAGAATGTAAGTTCCTTGAGGGTTATACTATTTCACTGTTGTATATATTCCCAGCACCTAGCACAGTACTTGATATATAGTAAACATTTCATGTTTGTTAACTGATGAACTGAAGCACCAAATATACCAAGTTCCTTTTCAAAGAAAAAAAATTTTACATTGTGACAAATTTGCATTACTTACACTTTTCTTTATTGCCATTTGTATTATGCAATAAATCTCCTTCAGAACGTGTTGTAGGAAAATCATCTTCATCATCTTCTACCACTAAACAAAAGAAATTATATATATATTAGGTTTACAGAATACCATAACCATCTGGAATGTATTTCCAACTGCCAGAACCAACTTTGAGAACATGTTTAATACAAACATGTACTTACACTAAAAAAGTAAATTCTTATTTAATAAAGGGTCATACCCCAATTTTCAATTCATCTAACTTTTGAAATCCCATTTCCTGCTCTTCACTACTGTTTGTTCATCTCTTGGGTTATGGTGTACTTGCAATCATTTGGACTACTAAAGAGTGAGAAGGGCTTATAGTTTAAAAGGCTCTAAAGGTCTAAGCCTTTATCCATGGCTAGGGGGAATACATTACATACATTATATTTGACTCTCCTCAATGGCCCACATACCCTTATTTTCACTGTCCTTTTTTCTCTATACATTTCTCAAAATGCCCCACCCCTGCCTCTAACTTTTCCACAACATACAGGATCTTATCACTTCAACATTTGCCTTCTGCACATTCCTAAAAACATGTCCAGTTCCATCACCCAACACAGTATTTTCCTTATCTGTCTTCTCTATTTATTATTCTTGGCCCCAAACTTCTCATCTTTGCTACCTTTACCCAAACTTTATACCAAACTATATACTTCTGTAATAGTACTTCTGTCTGCTGTGTAATAGGGAACTTCCATTCCACTTAAGGCAAAACTCCTCTAAATTCCATTGCATTTGCTTATTCTAGAGCTCGACAAATCCTGTGTTCTTGGACAATGTTGGTATAGGTGTTTCTTTCCTCACTGAAAGAGGCTATACTTCTAGATATTATTACCCTTTTCAAAAAGAGAAAGAAGTTTGTATATGAGTTGGGGAAGGGAAATGTATTTATTGGTGATAGTGGGCAGGAGGCAAGAAAATAACTGCTCCTCCCCACCCATGTATATTCCCCTTCCAAAACAAGTATTTCCTATGCTTATATTATTATTGGTAGTGGTGTTGTGTGTATATGTGTATGCACAAGGGTTGAGAATGACCTCATTTTATCTCAGCAATTTATCTCATATTTGCTCTCTGTTCCACCCCTACCACCACCACCCTAGCTCAAACTTACCTTACTTCTTGCCTGGTTCATTATATCATTCCCCTAACAGGTCTCCTTACTCATAGGTCATCTGACATTTGATAGCTATGTGACCTCAGGCAAGTAACAACCTTCTGAATCAATTTCTTTATCTGTAAAATGGGAATAATATCACCAAACCCTATGTGCTTTCCAAACCTTAAGAGGCTATATAAATAAAATTAAATATTACTACCAAATGAGTTAATTTGATCTGATTCTGCCATCTCCCATTTCTATACCTTTGCTTACAGCATCCCTCATGGTTAGAATTGGAATGTTACCCTCACCTACTACTTCTACCTTTCTAACTCTTTCCTTTCCCTCAAAGATCCAATTCAGGCTCCCTTGCAACTAGTTCCTTCCCTGCTGCCTTCAAATACACCCACATTTCACATGTCTTTCAGGTGGAGGTGGGAAGAGAGGGGGGAAAGCAGACAAAAAACAAGGAAACAATTTTACTAGACCCTACCTTACCCTCAAATTATTATCCTATCTCTCTCCTTCCTTTCTCAAAATCCTTGTAAAAGCCATCTCAATTTCTCTCCTCTCACTCTTCAACCCTTAATAATCTGCTTTTTAATGTGATCATTTGATTGAAACTGTTCCCCTCAAAGTTATCAATGACCTCTCAACTGCCAGATCTGATGATCATTTTTCAGTCCTCATTCTTCTCAACCTACCTGCTGCATTTGAAAATGTCCACACTCTCCTCCTGGATACTCTTTCTCCTCTCTGGTCTTTCATGATTCTACTCTTTCCTGGTCCTCCTCCGAAATTGATTAAGAGTTCCTTCCCTCTCTCCTTTGCCGATTCACCATCCAGGTGATGTCCTCTAAGTGTGGGTATTTCCTCAAGGTTCTATTCTAGCCCATCTACTTTTCACTTTCTGATGGTGAACTCATCAGCTCCCATGGGGTTTAACTACTATATCTATGCTGAAGATTCCCAGATTTATATAGTCAGACTGTGTTTCTCCCTCACATCAGTTACCTATTGGATCAATTATCTATTACAAGGATGTCCAAAAGTAAATACAGTTTTCTTCCACAGCTCATCCCTCTTACAAACTTTTCTATTTCTGTCAAAAGCATTGCCATTCTTCCAGTCTCCCAAATTCATCATCGCAGCATGATTACTCCTCACTCATTTATTTCACATATCCCATCAGATGTTTAATCTTGTTTCTACCTCCACAACATTTTTCGTATGTGACTCCTGCCTACTCACACAGTTAGTATGGCCCTCATTACACTCCTTCCCCAGTTACTCCAACAGGTCCTAATCAATCTCTTGCTTTTCTATTGACTCTAGGATAAAAGACAGGTTCCTCTGTTTAGCTTTTAAAACACTTCATAAACTTGTCCTAAACTATCCTTCCAACCTCAATAGTCATTTTCCTGATAGTAGTGTGTAATTCATTCATAGTAATCTCTCTGATCCTCCCTCACATATAACATCTCTTCTTCTTGTATTTTTGCACTGGCCTTCCTCCATATCTAAAATATATTTCCCTCCTCATATAGTCCATCTTTTTTTTTTTAAATTCAGCTCAAGCACTACATTCTACAAAAAGTCTTTTCTGATTCCCTCAACTGTTAGTCTCCTCCCTCTCAAATTACGCTATATCTAGCTACTAAGTATTTATTCACTTTATGAATATTCTGTATATGGTTATACACGCCCTTGTTTTCTTCCCCATGAGAATCTAGTCTTTCTGTGAAGTTTTTCTTTGTGTTTGTATCTCTAACACCTAACACAGTGGCTGGCACCTCATAGGCACTTTAACAAACGCTAGTTGGTTGACTGATTCCCTGACTCTTCCTTACCATGCCTGACTTTTTCTTCTTGAGCTTCTCATCACACTTTTATTAGTTTGTTTTCCCTACATATTTGTTACCTATTGAATGCATTTACATAATATTTCATATCATAGTTACCTATGTTTAAGTCTTTGGCCCCGCATACTTAGACTGTAGCCTATGTGAAGAAAGATTACATTTTGATCTAAACTACGCATCTACCCTAGTGCCTAACATGGTGCTCTGCACACAGGCTATGATTATTTTTACTGCTATCTTGTTTTTTACATTAGCTTCATTTATGAATATATCTCTTCCCTAACCTGTACCAAGACAGTCATCCATCCCTTCATAACAAAAGCACGTAGGCTTTTTTTTTTTTTGGCAATTGGGGTTAAGTGACTTGCCCAGGGTCACACAGCTAGTAAGTGTCAAACAGTGTTTGGTCTGAGGCCGTATTTGAACTCCGGTCCTCCTGACTTCAGGGCTGGTGCTCTATCCACTGCGTCACCTAGCTGCCCCTGCACATAGACTTTTTAATAAAGATTTGTTCATTTTAGCAAAAGTTTAACTTTTGGGAAAGGCTATCTCACCTTCTTTCATATTCCTAATTCAATGAAAAAAATTAGTGGGAAAAGAGTAAGCCTTCTAATCCTGCAGCTCTATTTCCAAACTACTAAACTACTATCCCCTCTTCAATTTTTTGTTACTTGGAATGCACATTATCTCTTTACCAGGTAGCCTTCCTACAAATCATGACTTCTGTTGTCTATTACCTGTTACAACATTTCTATCTCCCAGTAGACCTAAGATTTTAGTACCTGGCTTACGCTATCACTGTCCACTGAGTATACTACCAATATCTTTGCTGACTTCAATAGCCACCTTAAGACGTTTTCTTCAGACACTTTCATCTCATTAATACCCATCCACAATGACTTTTGATTGCTGATCTTCTGATCATTTACAAATATGTTCTTATTCAGTCATTTTTCAGTCATATCTAACTCTTTGTGACCACATTTGGGGTTTTCTTGGCAAAGATACTCGAGTGGTTTGCCATTTTTTTCTCCAACTCAATTTACAGATAAGAACTGAAGCAAACAAGGTTATGTGACTTGCCCAGGGTCACACAGCTAAGTATCTGAGCCCAGATTTGAACTTGGGGAGATGAATCTTCTTGACTCTAGGCACTCTTTACACTGTATGACCTAGATACCCATTTACATAGTCATTCATGAAAACCTGCTCTATCTCCAATTCAACATTCTTTCTGTGACTTCAGTCTCATCTGTTGCCTCTTTACTACTGCTTCCTCCAAACTTCCTTAACCTCTGTAACAATCTCATACTTTATTCACATCTTCGGCCTGGAAATACTGACCTCCTTCCTGCATCATCGATTCCATGATCAAAGACTTTCCAACATTCCTATTTCCTTCAATCTATAACCTTCCACAAACTCCACCACATAACGATCCTAGACCAGTCAATTAATAAGCATTTATTAAGCTTCTACTATGTGCCAGAAACTCTGCCAAGCACTGGAGATATAAAAGCAAAAGACAGTCCCTTCCCTCAACAAATACGGATAAACAGGCTATACAGATGGTAAAAAGGAAATAATTAACATAGGGAAGGCACTATTATTAAGAAGGACTTGGGAAAGCTTCCTGTAGAAGGTGGGATATTAATGGAGATTTAAAGGAAGTTGGGGAGTGAGTATTTGGAGCACAGGAGGGAGAGCATTCCAGGCATGGAGGACAGCCAGAGAAAATGCCTGGAGCTGAAAGATGGAGTCTCTTGTTTGTGGAAGCCAGGGTCAGTGGATATAAGATGATGTGTTGGGGAGTAAGACAGGAAAGGGTAGATAGGGGAAGGCTAGGTCATGAAAGGCTTTGAATGCAAAACAGAGGCTTTTGTATTGCATCATGGAGGTGATAGGAAATACTGAGTGGGAGCAGGGGGGTGATATGGTCAGACCTGTGCTTTAGTAAAAATCATTTCCTTGGGAGGGTGTGTGTTGTGTGTGTGCGTGTGCGTGTGCGTGTGTGTAAGAATCAGGAGTTTATAATGACATCTAGGTTGTGAGCCTGAGGGACTGGGGAGATTCAG